AGGATTGTTGGAGTCTAAATAAAAACTCCAATCCACAAGGCAATACTGCAAACACTTCAGATGATGGAGATGCTCTATGCTGTGAAACGTCAACCACCGTGGAAGGCAGAAAAAGATTTACATATATGACTCATTGATTCGGGAGCAACATATCACATGACCTCAAGAAGAGAATGGTTACATCATTATGAACCTGTCTCAGGAGGATCTGTGTATAGTTGGAATGATCATGCCTTAGAGATAGTTGGCGTTGGAACCATCAAATTGAAGATGTATGATGAAACAATTAAAGTTGTTCGAGATGTGCGGCACGTGAAAGGCCTGAAGAAAAATGTATTATCCTATGGATTGTTGGATAATAATGCAAGCAAGATTGAAACACAGAATGGAATCATGAAGGTGTTCCGTGGAGTGCTTGTGGTGCTGAAAGGCGAAAAGATAGCAGCAAACTTGTACATGTTGAAGGGGAAGACTTTGCTAGAAGCAGAAGCCTCTGTTGCCTCATGTAGTTCAGATTCTACAATGCTATGGCATCAGAAACTTGGACACATGTCAGAACAAGGAATGAAAGTCCTTGTGGAGCAAAAACTACTTTCAGGCTTAACAAAGGTAACACTTCCTTTGTGTGAGCATTGCATAACAAGTAAGCAGCGTCGGTTGAAATTCAACACATCAAATTCTAGAGGCAAATGTGTTCTAGAATTGGTTCACTCTGATGTATGGCAAGCACCAGTTACATCCCTAGGCTGAGCAAAATACTTTGTCTCATTTATTGATGACTACTCCAGTAGATGTTGAGTGTACCTATTAAGAAGAAGTCAGATGTGTTTTCAACTTTCAAAAACTTCAAAGCGCGGGTGGAACTGGATTCTGGAAATAAGATCAAGTGTTTCAGACCAGATAATGGAGGAGAATACACAAGTGAAGAATTTGATGACTTTTGCAGGAAAGAAGGCATCAAAAGACAGTTCACAGTGGCGAACACTCCTCAACAAAATGGAGTGGCAGAGCGGATGAACATAACCTTGTTAGAAATAACAAGAGCAATGTTGAGGGATGCAGGCCTAGAAAAATTATTTTGGGCAGAAGCAGTCAATACCGCCTGTTATTTGGTGAATCGAGCTCCATCAACTGCAATAGAGCTGAAGACACCAATGGAGATGTGGACTAGTAAACCAGCTGATTATTCAAACCTCCATGTATTTGGAAGTATTGTGTACGTGATGTACAACTCCCAAGAAATTTCAAATCTGGATCCAAAATCCAGGAAATACAAATTCTTGGGGTATGTTGATGGAGTAAATGGGTATCGTTTGTGGGATCCCACTGCCCGCAAAGTGATCATTAGCAGGGATGTTATCTTTGTAGAAGATAAACTACAAGCAAAGAAGACGATGATAGCACTGAAAAGTCAGAGACTACACAAATACATGTGGAAAATGAGCTTGAACAAGGAGATTCTTCTGAAGCAGAATCGGCATATGATGAACAAGAACCAGAGAGTTCTGAAGCTCCAACAACTCGTCAATCAGATCGTGTGAGAAGACGTCCCAATTGGCACTCAGATTATGTTATAGAAGGAAATGTTGCATACTGCCTTTTAACAGAGGATGGTAAGCCATCAATATACCAAGAGGCAATAAACAACTCAGATGCTTCACTGTGGATGATGACAATGCAAGAAGAGATTGAAGCCCTTCATAAAAATAATACATGGGACCTTGTGCCACTACCACAAGGAATAAAGTCAATTGGTAACAAATGGGTCTTCAAAATCAAGCAAAATGGTGACGATCAAGTGGAGAGGTATCGTGCAAGACTAGTGGTCAAAGGATATGCTCAAAAAGAAGGTATTGATTTCAATGAAATATTTTCTCCTGCGGTTCGACTAATAACAGTTCGAGTAGTTTTGGCAATGTGTACTATATTGAACTTACATCTAGAGTAGCTAGATGTTAAAACGGCTTTTTTTCATAGAAATCTTGAATAAGAGATTTACATGCTCAAGCCCAAAGATTTTAAAGAAAAATAAAAGAAGAACTTGGTTTGCAGGTGAACAAATCTTTGTACGGTCTAAAGCAGGCGCCGACGTGTTAGTATAAGAGATTTGATTCCTTCATTATGTGATTTGGATACAACAGACTTAACGCAGACCCTTGTGCTTATTTCAAGAGGTCTGGTGATAACGATTTTGTTATATTGTTGTTGTATGTTGATGACATGTTGGTTGCAGGACCCAACAAATATCATATTGAAGAATTGAAGGCACAACTGGCTAGGGAATTTGAAATGAAGGACTTGGGATCAACAAACAAGATTTTAGGGATGCAAATTCATCGAGACAGAAGTAATAGGAAGATTTGGTTTTCACAAAAGATTTACTTGAAAAAGATCTTGTCACGATTCAGCATGCAAGATTGTAAGCCAATTTCTACCCATCTTCCTATTAACTTCAAATTATCATCCAGTATGAGTCCTAGCAGTGAAGAAGAGAGGATGGAGATGTCTCGAGTACCGTATGCATCGGCAGTGGGAAGTTTAATGTTCGTTATGATATGCACAAGACCAGATATTGCACAAGCAGTGGGAGTGGTTAGTCGGTACATGGCGAATCCAGGCAAAGAGCATTGGAATACAGTAAACAGGATCCTGAGATATATCAAAGGAACCTCAAATGTTGCATTATATTATGGAGGATCAAACTTACTAATAAATGGTTATGTAGATTCTGACTATGTAGGGGATTTGGATAAAAGTAAATCTACTACAGGATATGTGCTCAAAATTGATGGTGGGGCTGTAAGTTGGGTTTCAAAATTGCAGTAAGTTGTGGCTACGTCAACAACAGAGGAAGAATATGTAGCAGCTACACAAGCCAGTAAAGAAGCAATTTGGTTGAATATGCTATTGGAGGAGCTTGGGCACAATCAAGAGTATGTCTCTTTGTTTTATGACAGTCAAAGCGCCTTGCATCTAGCAAGGAATCCAATCTTTCATTCAAGGACAAAACACATACGAGTTAGGACCATTTTATTCGTGAAAAGGTGGAAAAAGGGACGGTAGATATGCTGAAGATCCATACCAAAGACAACATAGCAGATTTCATGACAAAGGCGGTAAATGCTGATACATTTACTCTATGTCGATCCTCTTGTGGTCTGTCAGAGATGTAAGCAACATGATGGTACAAGGTAGAAAGAATGGTGTGAAGATATGATTGTTCCAATTAAATCTTTAAGTGGAAGATTGTTGAAAGACAAGCATTTTCAGTGCATTGAATGCACCGAATAATTAGTCAAAAATATGGGCACCGAAAAAATGAGCTGGTTTTTTGTTGATTTTTGGTAATAGGGATAATCTCAATTTTAGACATTATAATTTAGGGTATTTACAAATTTGTCCTTAAGCTTCAACTATAAATACCCTAGCTCATTTAGCTTCAAAATCATCCCAATGCATTCTAGCTTTCTTCCAATACTAGAGAGAATTTAGAGAGTTTCTTGAGAATTATTTTCTCCTTTTTATCAAGAGAGAATTATCATTGTTTTCTCCTTGGTCGATCGAGAGAAGTTGTAATTTCTATTTTCTCATAGTGAAATTCTTCTACAGTTGCCCGTGGTTTTTACCCTATATAATTTAGGGGTTTTCCACGTAAAATTTGTGTCATCTTTTATCTTCATTTTTATTTTCTTAACTTATCAATTACGATTTTGCTCTAACTAATAGCCGTCTTCTGCAACAACCCGGACGGTAAAAAAACCCTAATCATGTCATTTTGAAGAATATAAATGGTCGAAGCAATTGATGGCCACCAAAACCAAAATACTACCCTAGTCTAGGCTTCATTCATTATTGTATTAGTTACTAAGACAAAGTACTCAAATAGCAGTCTTACTTAAAGGTCACACTCCTTAACACTCAAACCAACAAATATCAATGTTTTTATTTTTATGTTCTTTCTTCTCTTTTTTCTTGCTTTGATTTGATGGTCTTAGTGACTAGAGAGCCACGTTGTATGATAGGTTCACGTGCACCACTGACGAGCTCTGGTAGAGCATTTAGCTTCTTTCACCCTCCGTCAAGGCCTCAACCATGTGGTCCAAATCGCCATCCCTAATTTTCAAAGCAGAAATCTATGAACAATCTCTGACTCCCCACTATTAAATACACTTGTCATTTTTCTGTATTTCAATCATTACACTGTGGAATCAATTAGTTTGTAGCAAGAGATGGAAAGAACCCTCGTCTCTTGTTCTCTTATTCCCAGTAAGGGCTGAGCACAAAATGAAGTTAGAGAGCCCAATTCATAGATTCAGCCTGCCACACATGGCTGTTTTAAAACCCATATTAAGCCAAGATAGTTTAATTAGTGATGAATGCGTATGAAGTGGAAACTGGGAAGGAGTAGTGGAGGAATACGAAATTTGTTTATTCGGCCCAGAATGCATGCAATGCAAGTATCTGGGAAATCTGTCTGTTGCATTCATTTGCATCTGTTTCACAATCGAACTTCATTGTATCCTTGCCTAGAGTTCCGGACCTGTTCAACTCAAAATTATGTTTGACCTTGATTCCTAAGCAACACACTCAGTTCCAATGATATCTCCTTGGTGAACAGGTGCTGTATCCACACCATCTATGTCAAAACCAAAGCCACCTTTAATAAAATGATTGGCACTAGTAAATTCTGCCTCCTGTGTTTTAGCCAATGGCTTTACCACTAGAAATACTAATCCACTGAGCTGAAGCAATTGGAGCCTGCCTTAGTGGCACCGTTCCCATTATAATCGGTCCATGTCTTTTCTCTGCCTATGGTCCATAATTGTTCCTGATTAATGAACATCTTAAAGTTTAAAGGTTAATTTTGGTAGCCGAAGTCAGTTTCAACAGACCACAAAACTTGATAGATTCCAGAGAATTTATGGCCGATTATCTCGTAGAAAACCGTTTTTTTTTTTTTGCATTATGTACGTTGCAAAAAAAACCTTCTCTCTCCCCAACCACTGTAATTCTTTCATAACTAATGGTTTCGTTTCATATATAATACACAAAGGATCAAAGTCGTTTTCTGCTCTTGTTCTTCGATAGGTGATAAAGGGATCAAAATTGTTTGCAACAATTTCTTATTGTTATGAATCTAAAGCAGCAAGACCACTGATCATGAATCTCGACGTTCAATGGAAATTAATAATGTGGCGTATGTGAGAATAAAAGAAGACGAAACAGGAGCAGAACAACTCAAACAAGAACAAGAACAGGGTGAAGAAGAAAATTCTTGCGATTCCCAAGTTGAGTTACCTTTTCAGGAAGAACCCTTACCTCAAATCCCTACCAACGAGAAATCATGGAATCGGCTACTCAAGTTGATCGCAGTTGGCATCTCTTCGGTCATTGTGGTCATAGTTGCAATTAAATGGATTGGACCCTTTGTGTTGAAAAAGGTAACCAGCAATCTCATTTTTTTCTCTTTTTTTTAATATTCATAAATCATGACATGTTTAATTATTTTCAATGGATAGTAGAAGCTATGATTTGAACCCAGAGAAATATTAGAAGTTGATTGCTGTTGATGTTATTTTGCTGAAGAATGATCTTTTAAGATGATGAGACGTACTTTGATAATTTTAGGGTCTCGCAAGATGGACATGAGCTAAAGAGAATCCAAGTTTGTGCTCCAAAATGCTCATTATATTATGGATAGTAGCTACCTCCTAGCCTCACAACTTTGATTGTTCATTTATGGTGCTAGGCCTTTGATAGTCAATCAAGTTATGCTGTATTTGTTGATATTTTGACAAAACTGTATGAAGAAATAAGATCAGTAGAAAGGATATACATGGTTGTATGACGACAGGTGGTTGTCCCGGCTTTACAATGGGAGGCGCATGCTTTCAACTCGAGCGAGATAATAAGTGTAATCTTAGTTACATTAGCTGTATTTCCAACCATATGTTTTCCATCTATACTGTTGTGGAATTCGGGTTAATTTTCACCAATAATAACAAATTCACCTTGAAAACTATTACCTAAGTGACTAGTGTGAAAACGATTGTATTAAAAATCACCCCAAGGTAGATTCCCAGGAAAGAGGAGGGGTCACAATGGTCCCTCTTAAAACCCACTTTCCTTAGACAGAACTACCAAGACAAGTAATTTTAATAGGACAATAATTAACAACAACTATACCCGACAATAGCTATTAAATATACATAAAGAGAATACCAAAATTTAACGAGGTTAGGACAAAATTATGCATGCCTCCTCGAACACTACTAAAATAATATTTCACTAATAGAGGAAATATTACAAAGAGAGAAAGAGTACAAATAGCCTTTAATATAGAAGAAGGCTTATATTTGTGGGATGCTAAACTAAGGAGGAGTATGACTTTATTTATAACAAAAGAATTTCCCCTCCTCCTTATACACAACCAATGTGGGACTTTGCCAAAAAACCAACAAATCTCCACCTTGGCAAATTCCACACACATCTCTCAAAAATCCAATCTTCAGTAGTGTGTGCAAATTCATCTTTCAATTTGTAACAATATTGACCAAGTCTAAACAATGTTTAAACTTGACCGCAATTACCACTTTTGTCAACATATCAACATGATTCTCAGCGGTCCGAATCTTCTGGATTATGACTCCACCTTCTTCTAGAATCTCTCGTACAAAGTGATATCGAACATCGATGTGCTTTGTCCTTGCATGGTAAACCTGGTTCTTTGCTAAATGAATAGCACTCTGACTGTCACAATGCACTTTGATGTGCTTCTGTTCCATTCCCAATTCACCAAGCAACCCTTGAAGCCAAATTACCTCCTTCACAGCCTCTGTAACTGCCATATACTCTGCCTCTGTAGTAGACAAAGCTACTGTTGACTGTAAGGTGGACTTCCAACTGACCGGTGCCTTTGCAAATGTAAACACATAACCAGTAGTTGATCGACGCTTGTCCAAATCACCTGCATAGTCTGAATCACAATACCCAACTACATAATGACCATCTTGTTTGTCCTGCTGAAAGACCAAACCAACATCTACGGTGTTCAGAATATACCGCATAATCCATTTCACAGCTTGCCAATGCTCCTTTCCAGGATCATGCATATACCTGTTCACAACCCCAACTGCCTATGAAATATCAGGTCTCATACACACCATTGCATACATCAAGCTACCAACAGCACTTGCATACGGAACCTTTGACATATATTCCCGTTCTGCATCATCCTTAGGTGACATGGATGCACCGAGCTTGAAATGAGGAGCAAGATATGTACTAACTGGTTTTGACTTCTCATTCATGCCAAAATGTTTTAGTACCTTCCTCAGATATTCTTTCTGAGATAAACAAAGCCTCCCCAATTTCTTATCCCTTGATATTTCCATGTCTAGAATCTTCTTCGCTTCACCAAGATCCTTCATCTCAAACTCCCTGTTCAATTGAGTCTTTAGTTTCGCAATTTCTGTCTGACTCTTGGAAGCTATCAACATATCATCAACATAAAGAAGAAGATATATATATGATCCGTCTTGTAGCTTGCGTAAATACACACAATGATCATATTTGCTTCTTGTGTACTTATGCCCTATCATAAACTTGTCAAATTGATTGTACCACTGCCTTGGAGATTGCTTCAATCCATACAACGATTTTTCTAATTTGCACACCATCTCTTCTTTTTCATCAATTTTGAATCCATCTGGCTGAGTCATGTAGATTTTCTCATCCAAGTCTCCATTTAAAAATGCAGTTTTTACATCCATCTGAACTAGTTCCAAATCCAACTGTGCTACCAAAGCCAACAAAATTTTGATGGAGGAATGTTTTATAACTGGAGAAAATACTTCATTATAATCAACTCCCTCCGTTTGAGCGTAGCCTTTAGCCACCAATCTTGCTTTGTAGAGGATGTTATTCTTATCAGGAAATCCATCTTTCTTTGCATATACCCACTTGCACCCAATTGTCTTCTTTCCCTTCGGAAGACTAGCTAGTTTCCACATCTAATTCTTTTGAAGGGATTGAATTTCTTCATTCATGGCGATCCTCCACTTTTTATGTTCTGAACTTTGGACTGCTTCATTAAAAGTGGCAGGAACGTCATCAATTGCAATTGGTGATGCAAAAGAGACCATATCAGCATAACGAGTAGGTTGTCTAATGGTCATCTTTTCCTTTCTGAGTGCAATTGATTCATGTTGATGTGGAGGTTCTTGGGTCTGAACCTCTTCTTCATCTGACTCTTCTTCTACCATAGGATAGTCAACAACAGTTTCTTTACTGGTTGGGTCAATTCTGCTTCCTTCAAACTCCACCTGTTTGGGAGTTCCATCTGTCTGCTCCAATTTTTCTGAAGTCACCTTTCTCAACATGGTAGATTCATCAAAGGTAACATCCCTGCTAAAGATTATTTTCTTTGCTCTTGGATCCAGCTTTGACTCCTTAACATGGTAGTATGCACTGGAACCAAACACATGTAAGGAATCATAATCTGTAACAGGTTCTCCAAACCATTTCTCTAATGGTGTTTTACCACCAATAGCAGTCGATGGTAAGCGGTTGACAAGATGACAAGCATAGACCAAAGCCTCAGCCCAAAATTCTTTGCCTAACCCAGCATTAGACAACATACACCGAACCTTCTCCACTAATGTCCGGTTCATACGCTCTGCCACCCCATTCTGTTGTGGTGTACTTCTGACAGTGAAGTGCCTGACAATACCTTCTTCTTCACAGACTTTCAGAAATTGATCATTTTTTGTACTCTCCACCATTGTCTGTACGGAGACGTTTGATTTTTATACCTGTTTGAGTCTCCACCATCTTTTTCCATTTAAGGAAAAATCCTAGCACCTCATCCTTTGTCTTCATTGTATACACCCAAACTCTCCGGGAAAAATCATCAACAAAGGTGACATAATAGTGTGTTCCTCCCAATGAAGTTGTCTTAGAAGACCCCCATACATCTGAATGAACATAATCCAAAATACCTTTAGTATCATGAATTGTTTTTCTAAATTTCACCATCGTCTTCTTCCCTTTGATGCAATGCTCACAAAAGCTAATTTGCAAGCCCGAGCACCCTTCAATAATCCTTGATCTATCAGCAATTTCAAGGATTTTTCACCAACATGCCCCAAGCGCATATGCCATAACTTGGTTGCTTCTGATTCCTGTTCTTCAGTAGAAGCTGCCACTGTTGTTGTCCCAACAATTGTACTACCCAGAAAATAATACACATTGTTTCTTTTCCGGATTCCCTTCATTATCACCAGTGAACCAGAGATAATCCTCATAATCCCATCTTTTGCTCTCACTTCTAAACCTTTTGACTCTAAGGTTCCCACAGAGATGAGATTTCTCATTAAATCTGGTACATAATGGACACCTATAAAGGTTCTGATTAATCCATCCTGATTCCTCAAGCGAATTGAACCAATCCCAAGTGTGTCAAGAGGGGAATTATTTGCTGTGTAGACAATTTCACCTTTTAGTTCTTTAAAATCAAAGAACCATTCTCTATTGGGAGTCATATGGTGGCTACAAGCTGAATCTAACAGCCATGAACTGGAACAGCTGGTTGATGGCGTAGCAGCGAATGCGAAATCTGAATCTGTATCATCATACTCGACCACATTTGATTCTGAGACGGCCTTTCCCCTTTCAGGTTTACCTTTATTCTTTAGCTTGAGACTTCTTTCTTCCAGTGCCCTTTTTCTCGACAAAAGACACATTCATCTTTGTTCAAGCTGGACTTTGACTTCGATCTCCCTCTCCTTCCTTTATTTTGACTCTTCGAATGGCCTCTAACAACAAGAGCTTCTTCTTCGACACTTGTGTTTTCTTGTTTGTCTTTCTTTCTCAATTCATAACTAAACAAGGCAGCAGTTACTTCACTGAGAGACACATCAACCTTCCCATGAAGTAGAGTAGTTTCAAGATACTCAAACTCATCAGGAAGTGATCCCATCAACATCAAAGCCAAATTTTCATCTTCAAAAGTCACGTCCATATTCATCAGATTAGTCACCAGCAGATTAAAGCTAATAATGTGATCATTCATAGTGGTACCTGGTACATAGTTGAAGCGGAACAATCTCTTTTTCATGTAGAGATTGTTTTGACCGCTTTTCTTCAAAAATTTCTCCTCCAGTGCCTTCCACAATTTACTTGCAGAAGTTTCCTTAGAAAATGCATACTTCTGCTCTCTAGAAAGACACGATCGAATAGTACCACATGTCAATCTATTGATCCTCTTCCATTCTTTCTCCTCAACATCATCTGGTTTCTCTCCTTCAATAGCAATGTCTAGACCCTGCAGAAATAGGGCATCTAAAACCTCACTTTGCCGCATGCCGAAATGACCGGTGCTATCAAAAATCTCCACTGCAAATCTAACATTTGTCACAACATTTCTTGCGGATGTTTTTGTGTCGTCTGCCATTTTTGTTACAAATTCTATTTAATAGCTGTCAATGCGAAATGTCAATTACCCTGCTACAAATTCTATTTAATAGCTGTCAATGCGGAATGTCAATTACCCTAAGGAAATTTTTTCTGATGTGGAAGATCAGCCTAAGCCGCAACCACAGAGCATACTAAAATAAACCAAGAGCGGTGATACCAATTGTTGTGGAATTCGGGTTAATTTCCACCAATAATAACAAATTCACCTTGAAAACTATTATCTAGGTGACTAGTGTGAAAACGATTGTACTAAAAAAACACCCCAAGGTAGAATCCCAGGAAAGAGGAGGGGTCACAATGGTCCCTCTTAAAACCCACTTTCCTTAGATAGAACTACCAAGACAAGTAATTTTAATAGAACAATAATTAACAACAACTATACCCGACAATAGCTATTAAATAGACATAAAGAGAACACCAAAATTTAACGAGGTTAGGCCAAAATTATACCTACCACCTCGAACACTACTAAAATAATATTTCACTAATAGAGGAAATATTACAAAGAGA